TAAATAGGAAAAGTCATAGGAAATGCAGTAAAATGGGGAGGCAAAAAGCTGCTTCAGTGATGGCTTTGGCATAAAATTCACCCAAAAGCCTCAGACCTTCTCCTTTCTCCATCTGCTGCTTTATTGAGTACAGAAATTCAGAGCCCAGTGTGCAGAACACACCTCGTAAGCAATGGGGAGCAGGAATTCCCTTGTACTTTCTGTGGAATTCTTCCAAGGACAATTCTGTTCCCCATTTTACATGTTATTGTGTAGATGATGCTTTGTCAGAATTCCTGTTAAGTGTCAATTATGTCCATCTTTTATTAATAAGAAATGACCTCTAAGGTGAATAGTCCTGACGAGCAGGACACACAGGTGATTCTGCTCTGCTAAAAGGTGTTTTTTGAAGTAATTATTCTGGTTAAATTACTTTTTCCTGGCAATGAACATTAACCCTTCTCACTGCTGTTGTGCAATAGCCCGTGTCAAAAGACAGGCAGAGATCTTCAGATATTTAGAGACACTTGGAGAAGTCCAACTGTTGTCTTGGCACCACCCTCGGTGCAGCCAAGGAAAAGACCACACTTGAATGATAAATGAAGCAGCAAAGCAAAAACAAGTGTTGTGAATCAATCTGGGCTGTGAAATCCCCCCCTCAAACCATTTCTAGTTGTTTCTGTGGGCAAGGATCGTTCAGTCTGCAGGGCCATTGTGTTGTATTTGAGTACAGTAACTGGTTTAAGTGCTGTTATTCATCTTTCCAAGGTGTAATTCATAAAATATATTTATTTATTTTTATTTAACTTACTCCAGTAGGTACCAGAGGAGGTTTCTTGTCTGCATTGGTTGCTACCACCACCAAAGCCTGTTGAACAGGCAGCAGTAGAATCACAGAATTCCAGAATGGTTTGGGTTGGAAGGGACCTTGAAGCCCACCCAGTGCCAACCCCTGCCCTGGGCAGGGACACCTCCCACTATCCTGGGACACTTCCCACTATCCTGGGACACTTCCCACTATCCTGGGACACCCTCCACCAGCCCAGGTTGCTCCAAGCCCTGTCCAGCCTGGCCCGGGACACTCCAGGGATGGGGCAGCCACAGCTGCTCTGGGCAACCTGAGCATTTATTTGCCTATGTGAGTGTTCTTTACTGGGTTAAATGCAAATTCATTGCTGCATTCTGTAGAAGGGGAACTTGCCATGTTAAGCTGGGGGCTTTAGTACAACTCAGGTGCCCCAGGGGAGAGGTGGGAGCTGCAGAAGCCTTGGAAGAGTTACCTTTATGGTACTCTAAATACAGGGTCTTCACTGGTTCTAATTGTGAATTAATACTGGGAAGTAAAAAATAAAAGAGAAATGGGATGTGGCACAAAATATTTAATAGATTTCTGTCTTTGTAATAACCAGAAATGTTAGAAATCCAGGCTTTTTTTCTGAAACAGTATCCATTTCCCTATTTTTATAAAACATTTCCATATTAGTGGAGCCCTTTAAATTATGCAGTTGTTTTTATCTCATTGATTTTTCTCTTTGAGTGTGATAAACATTTATTCCATGAACCTAATTTTCTCTGAATTTAGTGGGAAAAACTTCTCCACAAAAACATATAAAAAACCCATCAGTGTGAAGACCTCCAGAGCCATTAGTTAAAGTACATAAAACTGCACTAATAACTAGATAGCAGATCAATCTTCCGTGCAGACCACGGGAACATTCATATTGTTGGCTCAGTTCTAAAATTAATGGGCTTTGCATTGCTTTGTGAAAAAGCAATTAATGACCTGCCTTTGATCAGTTCTCCACAGACATAAAATGAACTGGCCCTGGAAAGATGGAGAGGAAGAAAATCAGAAGTTTGTTGATAAAGCTCTCGATTCTTTCAGGATGAAAAACGAGCCGAATGTGAAATCCTGGTCACGCTGAATTTAATGACCATTTGCATTCAGGGGAGCAGAGTTTACCAGCACTGGAATGTTGGGGTACAAGTCATTCCACAAAGCCCCGTTAGGAAAATTGGATGACAACCTTTTCCAGTGGAACCAAAGACTAAAGAACTCAATTTATATGTTGGCAGAGAGAAATTATTTTGCAAAGTCTACTTGGTCAGAGCTGTTAAATTTTACCCCTTTAGTTCTGTGGGGTGCAAAATGCTGGTGGTTTTGCTCATTTTATCTAAACCTCTTGTGCCTTCAAATCCAGACTGGGAATTAGCAGCATTCCCATAGGTCGTGGCTCCATGGAGTGTGCAGACAGCTGGGATGGGGATGGAAACCAGGAATTCCTGAGCACAGCAGCTCTGCTTGGCCCTCTGGAAACACAGCAGCAAGTGGAAGGGGAGCAAGGAATTAAACCCACAATATTTGGGTTTATTTTGGGAAGTTTGCTTTTTCCAAAGTGAATGCCAGGGATGCTGGAATGAATCTTTTCTCTCCCTCATTCTCTGTAAAACCAGTAGTTGCACACAGGCAGTGAAAGGTATTTGTTTGAGCACAGCAAGCAGACAGTTCTTGGGAAAAGATTGGCAGCTGGGAACAGGCTGGCATTTGTTGTGGTGGGAGAACACTGCACCTGTGCTGAGGAGGTGTCTGGCTTGGGTACTGTAGTGCTTTGCTTCGTTTCATTTCAGTCTGGGTTTGGCCAGGCAGATACCTATGAAATACAACAATTCCTGAGTCTGGATGAGCTCTTTGCCTTCCTTCCCCCTGTTAATAATCCTGGAAATCCCCATGGAAATCACATCCTCAGCCTCAATGTTGCCATCTCCTTAACAGCAGAGAATGTGAACCCTTGTCCTAAAATCACTTCAGGAAATGTGGTTTCTTTCCATTCACCACTGCTTGCTGCTTCTTTTGGAGTGATTTGGTGCAAGATGAAGACGTGAGAAATGAGTAACTTTGTGCACTTTGGGACGTGTTCCTTGGGCTGACACAGCTGAGAGATTCTGACTTCATGGCTGATAAAGTATCCAGCATGTCTTTATAGCTAGAGGTGTGGCCCCGTCCTGGCATTCCCAGGAATCCTAATGCTGGTGGAACAGAAAGCAGCTCGTGCAGCCTGAGTTTGCCTTTTCCTTTCCAGCTTCATTTGCCTCCAAGCTGAACACCAGTGCTGGGAGGGTTTAAGGCACAACTGTGCAGCTTCACTTCCTTAACTCTGGCTTTTGTCTGGAGCCTGTTGGCAGCTGGGAGCACATGGGGTATGCTCAGGAACCGTGTCAGAATGGGGCTCCATCCACAACAGTCCATGGAATTATCACTGCACCTGCTTAACTGTTCCTCTGTGGGACCAGATGAGTCATCTGGGCATTATTTAATGATCCCCATGGAGTTCTTCTGCAATTCAGTGACTCCACAGATGGAAATGGATGAGCTTTTAGTACCAGATGATTGGAGTTGAATGTTTGGTGGACGTATTTTCCTGTGAAAAAGAAAACAGCCTCATTCTGTGCCCACTTTCCCTCCCTTTTCTCATGGTGTTTCCTGACCAACAAATACCACCAGAAAAAAAGCAACGTTTGCATCACTGTATTTAACTGAAGAAAAGCTGGAATGTGTCCCCAGTTACTGAACTTTGAGTATTGTGTTAAATATCTTGCTATAAATTGCAGATAAGCCATGTCAGAAGCTGAACAGTTGCCATAGAGAACCTTCTACCGTGGCTGTGAAAAAATGGACTCTTTCTGAAGTAAGACCATGTATTTGCTCATGTGTTGCCACACACAGAGGTATAAAATTCCCCAAAGCATTGACTTCCAGACATACAACAGCCAGTTGCTGACTTGCTCTGTGTTGCCTTTTGCTCATAGCAGAGCAAGAAAAGGAAATCTTGCAAACATCCTTTGAGATCTTTATTTTTTGGTACCAGCAGAGTCATTGTTAAATCTGAACATTTCTATTTACTGTGTGCAAGGGCAGTTTGTGGCCTTTGTACCCGATGAACAAAAAATCCATTGGGCTTTTGCTTGGAATTTGGCATCTCTGTGAGCAGAGATCTCCCTGGGGACTGGCAGAGGAGACCTGAAACATGAGCTTGATATCAGCTGCAATGCAGAAATGCAGCTGCTCCTGCTGACCTTCAGGAACAGATTGGCTTCCCTCAGACTCCTGAGCTGGGAACAAACACCACCTAGAAAGTTTAGGAATAAGAAAGAACAGTCCCTTTCTTTAGAGGAGGGGCTATTCCATCACCCTGTCAGGAGGCAGAGATGTGGGAAATATGTCAGTCTGGGATGGCTGCTGTTTGGGGGCCAGTCCTTGTTGTCACATGCAGCAGTGGTGACACAGGATGGATGGTAGGTACCTCTCCTCACCCCTGTTTCCAGAGGAAAATCTTTCCCAAGTGGGAAAGCTGGGAATGCACAAGACTCATGGCAGACCTCTGTGCTAACTTCAGGCAGGTATTCACCGACAGATCCAGGGGTTTCTGCACTCTGGCATTAGGGTTGTGCTCCCTGGGTTCTGTGGGAGTCAGGTGCTTGATATATGTGGAAATTTCCTCTTCCTCAGCTTGCAGCTTTCCCAGTTAGCACATTTCAGAGCTCTGCCTCTGACACTTGCTGGGTCAGTTTATCCAGCAGGGCTGCAATTGGAGTGGGAAGCAGAACCTGGACTGTGCAAGCAGAAAATTCCAAAGGAAAAGGCTGTTGTAGCTTGGCACAGCTCAACCCTTAGATTGTCAAAGCTGCTGTTGGCAGAGAGGAGCTGGAGGAGTGACTTGTGTTCCTCACCAGGCCTCTTAGGGCATTCCTGCAGCTCCACACATGTCCTGGATGGCAGTGGCTGTGCTGAGGAGACACCAGCTGTGTTCCTGTGCCCTGTGCTCCACTGCAAATTCCATCCCTTTCCCTCACTCACAGGCAGCAGTTGGAGCAGGACTGGCCTGGGGAGCAGGGCTTGAGGGAGAGGGAACTGAAGAACATGTTGGGGTAGAGGCTAAAAGGGAGCTCATTCTTTCCTGCACACGCATTTCCAGTCTTTCTGGCTTTTTTTCTTTATTTTTCTTTTTTCCTCTGACAATATATTCACTGATGTCACCACTGCTGCTTTGTGTCTGTCAAACCCTGCCATCAGTCAACACTTAATTCCTTTGCTTGTTTATGAAGCTGAACACTTTAAAAACTCAGAGGTGAGATCAGACAACTCTTTAGGGGATGGTCAGAATGTGTAGTGAATGAAAAACTGATGTTATCTGTCAGTGAAGTGAGTGGGACGTGGACTCAGGGATCTCAGTGGGAGCGGGACAAGCCCAGGTGGGTGAGGGAAAGACATTGAGGTGGGGTTGCTGAAGGATGTGTTGAGTTTCCTGGATTAAAAAGGCCTGGTTTGATATTTTGTGCTCCCTGAAGCTGTGATTGTGCAGCTGCACTTAATCCTGAACTGAGCCCCATGACCATTGCCGTGGATTTGGGCGGATTGATTTCCGCGAAGAAACCCAAGTACGTGCATTTTTGTTGGATCCAGAGCTTTATTTAGGATTCTGTTTGAAAAACAGGCGAGCAAAGTGTTATTTACTCATCCGGTGGGATAGTCCAGCAAAATTTCTTTGGGTGCACAGAGCGTAAATATTTAGTGGCAAACACGGCCATCCTGGGGAACTGTGCTCGTAAATAATGACAACCCAACTGAGCTTCCCAAACTCCTCACAAAGGCAGGGAAGTTCCATCTTCATTCAGAGATGGAAAGGACTTCACGGGAGGTGCCTGAGGTCACAAAATAACTGGATTAGGTGTGAAACCTGAGCTGACTGTCCACCCAAAATTGAAATGTAATTGTGTCTGTTCAGTTGTAACTTGATTTTCATCCCTGATTAATGCTCAGATTTAACGGGTAAGAAGGTCAGATCTTTCTGACGGAAACATTTTTAGTCACATTCACTCTTTTTCTCTAAGGCTCATTTTGAATCACTGACAATCTATAGCTCCACTAATTGTGACTAATTGTGCCGCTCTGTTGGTAAAGTAACTTCATTTCTCTATGGATTTTTGATGTTTTGATGTAGTATTTAACAGTGCCACTTCAATACCACGTTTAAATTGTCCCCTTTTGATTTCTCACCATCTCTTGCCTCCTTGGAGCGGCACAAACCCACTTAGAACAAGAGCAGACACAGCACTGACTCCAGACCACACGTGGGGCTGGGAGGGACGGAGTTTCATCTGAGGATAGGAATATTTTAGTGGAAGCAGTGACACAAACTGGAGGCTGATTGCAAACAGCCCCCAAGTCCTGGCACTCCGCTACCTCTTCAGATGCTTGAAGGAGCCATCCCAAATCTGCAGGAACACACTTTAATTTTGTCATTTAAATTGCATCACTCACTTAATGAGCTATTTGGCTGATTGTAATGATGAAAACACTGTGATACACTCGGTAAAGCCTTAGAAGACCTAGGACAGGGTATATTACCAATAATATTGGATGTTTTCCTTATCATTTTCACTACAGTAATTTATTTCAAACCAATGAGAATAGAACTGTGTTTCTTCAATTGCAAAACACTTTTAACTCAATCAGATTCTCTTCCCAGAGATTATTAATGACTTTTTCTTTGTTGCCCATCCCTCTGAAGCGGTTACTTTAATTATGGATCTTGATTTAATAGATGTAAGGCATTTTGTAACAGAAACCTCTGCTATTTATAGAATGACTTTCAGTGTTTCCTGGGATGCTGCAGTGGGTTCTTAGCAAAGCTCAACCTAATCCTCCAGTCCACAGCTGTTCCCAGCTCGAGTAGCTCAGAAATGCTTAATAATGAGGGGCGTGCAAATGCACTCAGCATTTGAAAGGGCTTGCTCTGGGGCACTCTTACACCTTTGAAATATTCCAGGGAATTGCTACTTTTATTGAAATTTGGGTGATGAAATCAGAGCTTTCCTTTGACATATCCCTGTCCTCTTCTGGCTTTTCCTGGAGATACCAGAGTGCCTCCAGGTCCAGTCAGAACTCGGAGCAGAACTCCTCAAAACAAATTCTCTTGTCTTTGCAGGGTAAGTGCTTTAGAAAAGGTACTGCTCCTGCCTGAATGTGGGATAGTTTAAAAATCCTTCATATGGTGAAACTGCACTTTCTATAGTTTATATGTTCTACGAGAGGGAAATGTCTCCTGTTCAGCGTCATGAGTGGTGTGAACACCCCCACTGTTTATTATTTGAATGGAGCAGAATTTGGTCTCTGGTCACAAACTTCACATGAGGTTTGCAATTGTGATATTATATGAAAGTGCTGCTCCAAAAACTCGCCATTCAGGAAGTTAATTGGAGTTTTTCCACCCACCCCTTGGCAGAACACAGGGAAAACTGCTCTGAGGTGCCAGTGCCCCTCACTTCCAACAAGGTCTTCAGCAAAAACCATCTTCTTCCAGTCTGAAACCATCCCCATCATAAAGCAGGGCAGTGTCATTCCCCAGCTCTGCTGTTGTCCTGGGAACATGCAGGTCAAACTGCCCTGAGGTGAGGATTCTCCCTGCTCCTGGTGGGCAGGAGCTCTGTCACAAGTGCTGTGACACTTCCCATGCCCTTTGTTTTCGTGAGTCTCTGATGAGGAAATGGAGTTGAGAACACCTCATTTGTGGGATTGTTCACCCTGTGAGACAGCAGTAGCAGTGCATCATTTGCAAGTGCTCTATAGATAGAACTGTCTTTGCATGAATGAGTGATCAAATAAGTGGGATTTGTTCAGATCAGCTCATGAAAAATAAAGGGGCCAGATGAACCCATTGAACACACTCCCCCATCTGTAGTGTTTATGATTTCAGTGCTGTGTCACTGCTGTCCCATCCCATGATGGGATTTTGTGGTCTTATTCCTAGGAAAATAATCTCCACTAGTCAGCACCTAGGTGTCTGGAGTTCTGTGACTACATTTCCCTGGCAGGAGGTGTCTCTGGGTTTTCTGCAGGATGAGGGAGGAACAGGCAGTCTGGGAATGCAGCTTCCCATAGGGCTAACCAAAACCATCAGTTCCTGCTTTTAAATGCAGCAGCACTGCATGAGAACAGCCTGTGCTGCTGCAGCAGCTTATTTACTGAGCCAGACAACAGGGAAACATTCCCTCCTGGTGGGAATGTTTGGGGGCTTGGAGAGGAATGATGGGAGCACTTCTGCCAGGAGGCTTTGTGGCTCTGCCTCTGCTCCAGGAGGCTGGAGAGTGCCCAGTTATCATGCCAGGTGTCCAGGCAGTGCCAGTGTCCTCACCTGGGCTCAGGAGCGAGGAGGTTGCTGGTGAGGGATGTGGGAGGCTCTGGGGCTGCTGGGGGAGCAGGAGCAGGGAAGTGAAGGGATTCTGGATCCAGTCAGCCCAAATGACTCCTGGAGAGCCACGAGTTCTGCCAGACTCCGTGGCAGTAAAGCTGCAGAGCCCTGGGGGAAAGATGTGGGAGAGGCAGTGACAGTGGTGAGCCTTTGATGGGCTAGTGAGCAAATCAGCCCCTCGGCTGCTCCAAAGGTCACTCTGACACAACCTCCTCACTCAAAGCTCTCTTGTAAGAACCCTCTGCAACCCCAGTTCAACCCAGTGTGATTTGACTGCAGGCAAGAGCAGCAGATACTCTCCCAACACATCCCACAGAGGTCTCCCCTCCCTCCTGTATGGGAATGTGGGATCTTCCTCCTGCCTTTGAGTTCACACCACTAGTAAGGACATGACAGGATGGGCTGCAGGAGTCCCACAGCTCCAGCATCCAGAAGGCTCTCAGGGCCCTTGGAGCTGGATGGAAACCACTGGAACCAGCTGTGGGCATCCCAGACTCTCCTCAGAGCCCCCTGCAGACAATTCCTGGTGCTGGCACCTTCCAGAGTTCTGTGGGTGACCCTTGGCCAGCACAGACCCTTCTTCCCCTCCTGACCCCCACAGCAGGGTGATGGTCACCCTGCTCCAGCATTTCCCACCCAGGGAATGGCTCTTGGGATCCATCCTTGTCCTTACACCACCTGGGAGCCAAAGGCCTGGGGGCAGCAGGTCCCTGAATCCCTGGTCCTTTTCCTCCTCATCCTCCTTCTCCTTTGCCACCTCAGCGTGGGCACAGGCACTGCAGCTGTGTGTAACCTCTCTGAGCCACAGACTGTGTGTTCCTGTGGTTTTCCAGGGCTAAAAATCGTATTTTAAGAGATAATAATGTCTGAGTAAGAGATGTTGGTGTTCTATTCTGTGAAACCCATGTCCCATTTCCACTGCATTTTCAACAGAAACCAAACATGTCCCATTAAACCCAATAAAAACTGTAACCAACTGCCTTGACAGGGCACGTTAGAAATACAGCTTCTTTCCCCCCCTCAACTGCACAGAAGGTTTATTGGTGATATTTCCTGTTAGCCTAAAGCATCTTTTTGAGGAACAAGTGTCTCTCTGGGGGCTGTTCATCAGCATCCCATCGAGCCGAAATGTGCCCAGAGCGGGTCGGGAGTACTTTGAAGCCACACTGGGTACATTTTGATGTACAAATTATGCAGGGCAAGAGGGGATCACACTCAGTGGAGTAACTCCAGAAATAATTGAAAGCAGGACCCGCTCCTGGTACTTTGTAAATAGCAGCAATAACTCTTGAGGTCTCACCCATTATTTCAGCTTTTAATATTCTGCTGGGCCGTTCTGTGGCCAGGAGTGAAAAGTGAAATCCTTTCACATCTCTGGTGAGCAGAAAGCTTGAAGGGGTAAATCTGAGCTAAAGAGGAATAATTTACTTTTTCAGAAGTCACTTTCATCCAGGGGAATTGAAATCTTACTTTTAATCTTTCAAATTGACCCTGAACCTTGCATTCACTTTATGTTGTATACTGTAATTATATAAAATTATGTGTTATAATATTTGATAAGTAGAGCCGCACTGTGGACAAAATGAAGTGTGGAGAGTGTTTTGGAGGAGATAGAAGCAACTTAATGTGAAGTCTATGAAAAATCTAATCAATAAGATAACAATTTCCAAATAAAAACATGAGCTGCAGGGGAGGCCGATAAATCCCATCAGTTGTGTGGAGCAGCACTATTGGATTAAACTGTACAGTGGGGAGAAGCAGAACACATCAGACACAAAGAATTCATTCTCTCAGTCGTTTATTCTGGTTTATGCTGGAGTGCAGGAATGGCTTTGCCCTGCCAGGGTTGGGCAGGGAGGAGAGGAGCGTGTGTGGTGATTGCAGAGCAGCACAGGCACAGCAGCTTTCCAGTGTCACCCCCTGCCTTTGGAGAGGAGCCCCATCCCACCCTTCCACAGCCCTCTGATCCCTCCTCATGCACAAACTGGGGCTGTTGGCACAGCTTAGTGCTGTTCTCTTGGGCAAGATTGAAATGGTTTCCTCCCTGAGAGCCAATTCCTCATAATCTACCTACCTGAGACACAGAGAAGGAAATTAGGGAGAGTGAGAGTTTCTTCTGCAGTTGCTTAATATTCCCTCAATGGTATTTAATTCACTTTACTACAGAGGTGCATTTGGAAAGATTCAACGTGTGTGTATATATATATATATACACACACACCCAAATTAATGGACTGTCTTTAGTTCCTCAGTATTCCAGGCCATTCCCCAGGAGCTGGAGTCAGTTTGGTGAATTCCATGGTGCTTCTTAGCTGGGGAGAGCAGCTCCTGACCAGCTTTATTGTCCTTTTAGTGTCTCAACTTGAGGGTGTTAGGGCTCTAAAATGATTTATAATTATGTGCTAAACTGGAGTCGTTTCAGTCATTTGGTTGAGGCCTCTGTGGATGAAGTGGAGCTTTGCTGGGGCTGTATTTTCTTGGAATATACTCCCTGTGCCTCTGCAGCTCCTCAAGAAATGAGGATACAAACCATCTGGTAGAGCCTGGGATGCCAAAGTGCTTTTTTAACCTCTCAGTGATAATTCAGATGTTTTACAGCAGCATCTCCCAAAACACCATGAAAATCTTCTCCAGTTTTCCTGTCTGTTATTTCTTGTAGTAAAATGTTCTGTCGGTGACTGGAGTGATGAAGTTACTGTTGCTAAAGAGCAGTGGTCTCTCTTTATTCCCTATCCACATTTTCCTTCCCCTGTCTGCCAAAGGAAAGACCATTTCCTTTGAGGTGAAGTTGGGTTAAGCTCAGGTGATTTTATTTCTGTGTATTTTCCTGTGTAATTGTCTGCAGGACAGTCACTTCTAACAACATTTTTACATCTAGAAACGTTAATATCTAAATGTGGGGAAAAGGCTTTTCAGTTTTGTGTTTCACACTGTACCAAAAGCCCCATTCTTAGCAGTGTGTAGTTCTAAAGCTCTACAGGACCTGTGATTTTTTATTATTCATTAACTGACTCACAGATTCTTTGAGGGAAGAGCAGTTGCTTGGTGAGTTTGGGTCACCAGGCACATCTGTGCCTGGAAAAAACCAGGAGAAATCACAAAACACAAGGCATAATGTCCAGGGTTTGTTCAGTTACCTTTGAAACCATAAAAGGACAATTCCCTTCCATTTCTTAAATGTTCAATCACTTGTAATTGTACAGAAAATCAAAGTGGAAGCCCCAGAATCAATAATACCTTAGAAACCAAAGAAATCTGAAAACCACCGAGCCTGGGAGATCCTGAAAAGAAGGAAAAGAAAGACACTGCTCCATATTCATGAGGCTTTCTGGAGATGAACCTCAGAGTGAGGAGAAGTGTCTGAGTGGGAAATGCCCACGTTCATTAATCTGCTCAGAACTCCAGGGCAGCACAGCAGCTTTTTGGGAGCACAGCAGTTTTTGGGAGCACAGCTCCAGGGGAAGGAGCTCTGTCTCTCTTGCTCCTCAGTGGGTGTGAGCAGATGCTGCTCAGGTAGGATCCACCAGACAGACTTGCTGAGCCTGTGATAAGTAAGAAAAAAAATAAGGTGGTTTTTAAAGGTTTTTTTTCATTCTCTCTCTCTGAGGGATTCATGTTCTGTTTTATTTCTTGTTTAAAAACTATCCCCACTAGGAAGGTTTTAACTCCACCATAGACTTTTGGGCTAGTTTGGCGGTTCCAGGAATGGAGGGTCATCTGAACACAGGGAAAAAAACTGTACAAACCCACAAAATAGCAATTCCCAGCAATCTGTGGGAATCTGGGAGAGTTCTTGTGATAACAAGGCCGTCAGCTGCCGCTCTGGCTGCCATGGAAACAGGGGAGACTGCTTTCAATCCGTTCCTAGGCCAGAAAAAGTAGGAAAAAAAGAGAATAGGCTTTGGTGGGATGACTCATTTAAAGGACTTGTCCCTTGTCTTTTGTCAGTGCCTGTAACTGCTGCCCTGGCAGAGGGACTGGGAGGTGTCTCAGGGCTGCTCAGTGCCTGCCACAGAAGAAACACTGGGGATTTCTGAGTCTCCAGGCTCCTAATTTATGAAGGAGGTGAGTATCGAGTAGTTGAGGGTATTTTAAAATTAATCTTCAATTTGATTTTTAAGTAAATTTTAAATTAATTTTTAAATTCTTCTCCCATTCGTACCGAGCAGGTTAATGCACCTGGTTTGGTGCTGTTTCAGAGCCAGTGCCTCAGTGCTGGACACACAAAACCCTGGCCATCAGTGGCAGGAATGATGCACCATCAGGGAATTCCCAGCACTTCCTGCATCCTCCTGTGGGCAGCATTGGCAAGGAAATGGCTGCTGATCAGCCCAGCAGGCACAGAGTGCAAGGTGAGGGCATTTCTTTTCTCTAATTCTATTTTTGGTCCGTGGTGCAGCTTGAACTGCAGTTTGGGCTCCCTGGAGCTGCAAATCTGGGGCCAAAGCACTCAATTCCTGGTGCTCTTCCATAGGAGAGGGGCAGGAGAACATTTCAGTTGTGCTCCTGCAGATCTGAGCATTTGAGAAACTGGAAGGGAACAACCCCGAGCACCAGAAGATCAGACTTTGCTGGTGTTGTTGTTATTATTTCCTCATTTAAAACCAGCTGAAATGCACTGAGAGCCTTGCAGAGGATGAATTGTTGTTTGTGCTCCAAGGGATTTCCTGGCTGCTGTAGCCAGGGCTCATCCAGAGGGCCAGGAAGAGCCTGTGACCCCAAAGAGGGAGGAAAGGGAAACCACTGACATCACCATGAACTCCTGCCTTGGTTTTTGTACTCAGATATCCCAAATTATAGATATTTTTACGTGTTTCAGTGCCACCCCTCATCCATATTCTTAGTAAAACATCACAACAAGGAATTTCTCGCTCCAGAAGTAATTGCTGGGAATCAGTGGGACGGCTCTACCCTTTGGAGCCTCCTGAATGTGCTGTGCAGAGGGTTGGAGTTGTTGTCATAGAGATGCTGTGATTGCTGCACTGAATGTACAGAATCCACAGGACTGTTCACGTGCTGAGTGTTGTGGCTCTGAGAGAACATCTGCACATTTCCATGTGGAGTGTCCTCAGCTTTCTGGGCTGGGCTTTTCCCGCAAACTCCGAGAATGAAAGTGGAGAGATGAATGGGAGGTTGTTGTAAGACATAACGATCCCATCCTTACGTAAGATCTACGACAAAAATCCGGATTTCTCTGCGAGCTGCACGTGTCCCTCAGTAACACAGCCATTTGTTATGCCTAAGCTGATGTTTTTGCAATTTCTTTGCATTTGACTCATATTGTTTCTATGCTGGTGTGGAGATGAACCGAGGAGACAGATAATCTGGAGCAGCACATCCTTGCTCTCCGTGCTTTATCCATTTGTTTCTGTTCTCCGTGATTTTCAGGGTCTGTTGGAAAATAATTTAAATAAATTGGCACATACGAACCTTGAAGGAAACCTAAACAACTTTGGCAGGTAATGGGAAAAATGTTTCTTAAAACTGCCAAGTTGCCACTGCAGAGCCTTCGGCTGATGAGCTGCTCTCTGGCTCAGTGGAAATCGACTGCTCCCAAATCCTTGAGAGCAAATCACTGGATGTAACGTGGAAAGGCTGCTCTTTGTTGGGATATGGGGAGAGTTTGTGGAGAACAATAGTATTTATTTACAGATTATTTATTTACAGCCAAGGTTGGCTGTGTGGTTCCATATTAGCCCTGCCAGGTGTTGGTGTTTGGAGGGATAAGGGTGTGAGGGAACTGTGCTGGAATGAGAGGTGACTCTGGGTTCTCTCCAGGGGGATGCTGCCTTATCCAAACAATCAAGGTAGGAAGTCACAGGAAATCCCTGCAGTGGGTATCTGCTGGCTGGAATCTCCAGGAAGGAGGAGCACAGTTTATTTCCATAGGAAATGAGAATTCCCTTTTTTCTTCTCTTCTCTTTCTATCTTTCTTTCTTCTCTTTTCTCACATGAGAAAGTCTTCTTTGAGAAGGGTTTGTTTAACTCAGCTCAAAGCTCTCCAGGTACTTGATATCCTGGCACTTCTGTGATGTTCCAGCACTGCATTAAACTGTTCCATTTTTAGTCCTGCAAGCCCAAGTGTGCAAAGCAAAATCCTTGCGTGGGGCTTTATCCCCCATTCCCCCAGTGTTGGGGGGAACCCCAAAAGGCCCAGCTGAGCTCTGCATCTGCCAGTTGTGTACAGAGAAAACAGCAATTAGAGGAGGGGAAGAAGAAGGATGACAAAGCTTTGACATGTTATCGTTCTCCCCGCTGGGAAATGATTATCCAGAGGGAGCTGGAGCTGTGGGAAGCCACCCAGCCATCCTTCAAAACGGGAATCCTTGTCACTCACTGCAGACCCCATTCCTTTCCTGGGCTGGGGTGTTTCATTTATTTCAATTAATGGGCATGCTTGAGCTCAGAAAATATTCACTTCTTGCTTTATTTTTTCCCTTTTAGTGTATTTTAGTGCCTGTGACTTGTGCCAGCATTGGTATTTCTCACCATGATGTGTCTTCTGTGACAGGGAAGGTCACCCAAGTGGAGATGCATCGTCCATTTTTCGAGGCACTGTGGGGTTCTCAGCCCTGCCTCTGTCCCACTGCTGCTTGTCTTGTTCCCATGTGCAACTCCCAATTAACACCCATTAATTAATAATGCCGGGGGGTGGGGCTCTTCCATTAGCTGTTCCTGGTTTCAGCAGGGATAAATCACACTGAACACTGAGGGGATTGTGCTGGTCCATGATGGAGGACATAAAAAATACACTAGCAGATTTTAAATAGTCATAACATTCATAGAAGATTTTGTATAGTGAATAAAACTGCTACTTCACTTCTTTGTGAAGCACTAACAGGGCTCTGTGTGCCTTGGGCTCAGTGCAGGGACGGTGATCAGCTCATGGAGAAATAGCTGATTGGTCTTGTTTTACAGTTTAATTGTTTGCAGGGTTTGGCAGTGGAGTTTGGCCTTTGGAAACTGTCAATTTGAAATGTATTGGTCTGTACAAAATTGCAGATGAAAGGTTGAATGCAGTTATCCCCCATGGGGGCAAACACTTGGTCACTGAAGTCAGGAATCCACAAACTCCATGTATGATCACAAACAGGAGCATTTCTGGTTTACAGATCAGCTCCTAAAGTGAAAATATATGATTTTATTCCTATACTACTCCCACTTTCATGCAGGATCAGGTTTCCCATTGCTGAGGAATATTTCTTTTCAGTTTAGGTAATTTTTTTTATAGGGAAAAAAAAATACTTCTTTATGCTGGGAGCTGCTTTACAAATGGAAAATTACCTTTCTCACCATCAGCTTTTCCAAGTCTTTTGCAAAGATAAATCAGGGACTCTATTTCATTTTAACTAATCACATGTTATTCCAGTTTTGTAGATTAAATACAGACTGGCAGTGGGACTTCAGAATTCACAGTTTCAGGGTTCCTGAAATCATCTTGAAAGAAAGAAATTGAAATGATTTCTTGTTTCCCACCTTGTGTTGCTTTGATTGCAAACTCTTGGCAGGGCAAGAGGAGATAAATTGATTTTCAGGGAATTCCATTTAAGAATTGTTGGAGTTTGGGTGTTTAGGAACCTCTTCCTACCTCAGCCTTTCCAGCTGTCCAGGAATTATCATCAGGAGGAAGGTACAGCATTGCAGATGTCCAAACTGTGAGTTGATCACGTGTATCATCTGCACCCACCTCATCAGCCAAAAATTAGGAAAAGCAAGGTAAGCAGTTGAGGAAACGTTCCCAAAATTGCCATGTGCTGTCTGCCCTGCTGGACTTCAGTGTTATTTAAATGTCACCCAAAAAATATGATATTTGAGTATGATAAATGAGATGCCCATTGCAGTGAGCTCACACACCTGAAAGCAAATACTGCTACCCATGCAGTTCTTAAATGGCATTTCAGAGAATTGTATCACTCAGAATTCACAATTATGCAGACAAAATAGATCATTCAAAAAGGGAGTGATTGGGACACAGTATGGCTTTTTTTTTTTTTCAGATTTGGTGCCTGTTATGTTTTTATTCCATCCTCCTTTGTCCTGATTTAGTGGAGATAATTTGAGCCTGGCTGCAGCTTCCTGAGGAATCCCTTCTAGTTCTTTCTCTCTGATGTGTTGCACACATCCCTTCTCCCCACCTTCTCCTAACCCCGTTGAAACCCCTTGCTGAGAGAACCAGAGGTTCTACAAAGTTCCCTGTGCCTGAGAGAATCATTGGGAAGCAAGAGGCAAAGTGCTGAAAAGGCCCAGTGCAGGTGCAGCCGATTGCAGTGGGATGTGTGTGCTGGGGGGTCAGCAGGGCTTGCATTTGGAAGGCTGCAGCACCAGGATTAAAGCCTCTTCCTCAGCAATTTTTCCTGGAGGAAAATGAAGATATCCTGGCCCAGGGCTCCCTTCCCATGGCGTTTTACTTGGAGGCAGGAGGAAGTTGCTGGAGGTATTTGGACACTCTGCTTTAATCAGTTGCTGTCTCTCCCATTTTGCTCATTACCAGAGTGATGAGCCCTGTTAAAGCCCCTGTTAAATCCTCAAAGAAAATGTTCCTTGCACCAAAAGAGCCTCAGCAGAACAGACTGTTTAAGCTTTATCCCCAGCAGTTTAAATAAGGCATTACCTCTCCCTTGTCTGAGGGGATGAGCAGAGCTGGAATTCAGCAGGTGGGAGATGCAGGATCAGCTTTGGAGCTGGCTCAGTAACAGCTCAGTGTGTGATGGTGCTGGGTCCCCCTTTCAAACCCGCAGTGATTTATTTATTTTTCAAAGAAAAATGATGCCCTGTTTTGTTGAAGTCACGTATGGAAGCAAAAGGAAAGATAAAATAGCAAGAGGAGGCACCACTTCTTTCTGCTGATGAGGCAGCTGATGGATGGCTCTCTGGGGACCTGCCTGAACTCGCTGTTCTGCCCACCAAATGAAGATAAATCATTGGTGAAGGGTTTGTGGAGTACATGCCCCAAATCAATTATGCTCAACATGGAGATCTATTAATCTATTCCTTCCTGTTCCCTCTCCCCAGCCTCCTTCCAGTGGCTTGTTATCATTCCAAACACAGGGTAGTTAACTGGTGGTACGGTTAGCACTGAAATCAGAGTTGTGAGGAGTCCTTTCACCCCTTCCCTGTGCTCTGCCCAATCACCTTAACTCAGGTTTATAAATTGCTCCTCAAAAACTCCCAGAGTGTCTCCAGTGAAATGGTCCCATGGACACCGACCTTTCTGCAGGGCCTTGGTGGGTGTTGTCACCTTTCCTTGGAAACACAAAGATCCCTGTATGGAGGAAAAACAAATCAGGCATATTTAAGGCTGTAGAGTTGAAAACACTGCAATGAAAAAGTCATATCCAGGAAATTGTCTCCATGGAATGATTTTTCGGGGAAATGCAGTGGAGTTCAGAGCCAGACTGTATTAGATGCTCTCAGTTCCCAGGGAAAAATAGTCCATTCGTGGTCAATGCCTAACCAAGGAAGATGAGGGAGGCAGAGCAAGCATTGAAAGGAGGGTAAATAACAGCTGGGAATTAAAAATTTTAAATTCTGAGGTCACCTTATGTTTCTAAACCAGAAACATTTCCATGGGCAGCAGCTGACTCCATCCCCCTCCTCCCACCTGATATTTCCCCACGTGAACAGTGTTAAGGTTGTTAATCCAGCAGGTAGGCAGAGCATTCCAAATGAATCCCAAATCCCAGCAGGGATCAGTTTCATCCTGGCAGAGAATGGCTGGCATTAGAATGACCCAGTAGTTCTGGTGACGTAAAGAGCAGCCTGTTTTAGGGTGATTTTTGTGGCTGTAAGTTCAAGGAGCCATGTAAAGCCCGTGATCCCATGAGAACATATTCCCTGGGAGAATCCCCTGAAGGATGGGAGGCACTGGGGCATCTTTGCAGCCTCTAAGGATGGAGAAAAATCACCTTGATTTGAAAAGGTGATGCTTTGCAGCTCCACAGGTTGGAGCTTTCACCCAGACATGCCCAGACCCCTGTCTGAGACCTCTGGGGTTGTCCTAGAAAGTGTTTGAAATGCTGTTTTTGTCTTTGAGTAGCTCAGAGTTCCTGTCAATAAAAGCCAGAGATACAAAAGCAATACTTGGAGTCTTTAGGAGCAGGGTTGCAGTTTCATGGCTCTGAATTTCATTGACTTTCTAAACAGCATTGAGCTTTTGTTGGTAATTCATTCCAAGCAAGTAGCCACTGCATAAATCCTTAGTTCTGTGATAGAGCCCATGCATACAAAATTAAACTGGATGGAATCTGTAAGGTTGGGGTGCAATTTCCAGCTTTTATGCTCAGCCTTTCTTCTGATGGAATTAATAGATGTTTGGGATTGTTGCAGCTGCAGTCAAATTCTGTAACGTATTGATTAGTAGTGTATTGACAAAAATTGGTCTCTTTGTTAACAAGAAACAACACAGTGATTAATAGGTTACAGAAGTTGTACACAGTGTGCAGACAGATGTTTGAAGAAGTGAAGCATCCCAGACAATCAATTATGATGGAAACAGGAGTGACATTTTCCAGCTCAGTGTTGAGCAGCAGCAGCAGAAAGTGACCCTGGTGTTTTAGGGAAGGACTAACTTATTTTCATTCTGTTCTTGTTTATTGTTATTATTTTTTTTCAATTTATTTATTATTATTATATGAATTTGTTGAGTGGATTTTCCAGCCACCAAGAAAAGGGCTTTTCTCAGGTTGTACCATCAGGAATTTCTGATTCCAGGTAGATCCAGTTTGGCAGAGCAAGCCCTGAAACTGCCTCCAGCTCTCTGATGTGATCCAAGTCACACCTATGTTTGACATCAGCATGACAAGAGAAGGAAGTCTGGTTTAAATACAGGAAAATGACTTCAGAATACATTACATGAGCTTTATTTAGTGTAAGGAATTTTTTTCTGCGTGAATTCACATGGGAAAGCGCTGTCAGTGAGGATGTTACTGTTTTCCTGCCTTTTTCAATCTGCCACATAAAACCACAAAGGTTATTGTTGTTAAGATTTCCAGTTTGTTTTCTCCATTTTCAGATGTCATTCAGAGAAAGAAGCTCTACAAAGGTAAGAACTGAGCCCGAGTGTCAAACTTGCCCAGCTCCACTCCTCTTTTTTTACTTTCCTCAGTGTAGGAATAAAGAGGCAGAATGAACAGAAAGGAGTCAGAGCTTATGAGGGAGAAGGAGGAATAAAAGAACACCTTTTTTTAGCTGAAACCTGGCTTAGGGAAGCATTGAGTTTCTTAGCACTGCTTAGGGCTGAAAAGATCTATTCACAGTAAACTCCAGCCCCCGAAAATGATTTTTTTTCTCATTTGGCTTTCCAGGCCTATTTTTCATTTTCCATGTGTTCTGTGGCAACAAATGTATTCCATGGAAGTTTCCCCTCTTCCCAGTACCATCCCCCTTTATGGGTAAGGGACTTAATGGACTTTACTCCCCGAGACAGAATAAGAAAATACTACAATAATGACACTTGGCACAATGTTTCCAGAGCCCTGTGCCATTTTTACTTTCACTAAACAATATATTCATGTGGGTATTCTCCTAAATCACTGTGAATTCAGCAAACACAATACTGAGGGCAGAGAAAACCAGTCTGATATGGCTCAGTGAAAACACCTTTATTTCTTCTGAGACTGGGGCTTTCAGGCCTGAAGGACTGAAAAAAACCTCCCCTTATTTAGGGAGAGTAGATGGCTGTCTAAGGATTGTGCCTTGTTCAGAATCTGGGAAATAAGTATTTTCCAAGGAAGGATGGGACATATTATCCATACACTGATATCCACATGCTCTGGATTAAACCTGATGGTTTGTGAGGGCCGTCCCTAATGCAGTGATCCCCCTCAGCTGTGGTGTGAGGGCACTGCTGAGGGTGCAGCACCTGCAGCTGGGCCTCCTCCACCCCTTGCCCGGCTCCATTGCCCTTCCAGCAGCCACACGGGGCTGTTGTTCCTGCTCTGTTTCCAGAACATTTGTGTTTTGGATCCCTCATGGCTTCAGGATGCTGCTCTGTGGAGGTAAGAGCCTGGGACTGAGCCTGCCCTCATGAGGGGTCTGGTCTGGGGAGAGGGCGGGAAAAGGGAGCTGGGACTTTAACTCAGGCATGAGACATTGTGAGACATTTGTGTTGGCTTCAATATGTCCCTGCTTTAGGAGGTTTAGTTTAACATTCTGTGTATTTAGATATGAGGTTTAATTGAATTTTCTGTGTGTTTCAATGTGCTGTTTTTTCGTGGGGTTTTCTGCTAGTTTTGTTTCTTGTGTTTTTTTTTTGTTCTCAGGCTTTTAATGGTTTGATCTGTAAAAATACTTAAATTAGGAACAACTTGTGTGGAACACTTGCTTTGTCCTGGAGTACCCCTGAGAAGTGTGGTCCTTTAACACATAAAGGGGGACTTTGTTTGTGGGGTTTGGGAGTTTTTTCCCACATGTCAGTAATGGCGGTCTGAGGGGAAGAGCTGTGTTTGCACCGCGAGGTAGCTCTGGATTGGGTGGAAAGCCCCTCTTGAGTGAATGAAACAGCAAAAAACATCCTAGGAAACAACAAACTCCCATAGTCTGCATTAAACACAGTTTATGGAGTTGATACAAAGACTTTGAAATAAACTGCAGTTCAAGAACAGGTGAAGAACACCTGATGGTTTGTGAGGGCCGTCCCTAATGCAGTGATCCCCCTCAGCTGTGGTGTGAGGGCACTGCTGAGGGTGCAGCACCTGCAGCTGGGCCTCCTCCACCCCTTGCCCGGCTCCATTGCCCTTCCAGCAGCCACACGGGGCTGTTCTCCTGCTCTGTTTCCAGAACATTTGTGTTTTGGATCCCTCATGGCTTCAGGATGCTGCTCTGTGGAGGTGAGAGCCTGGGGCTGAGCCTGCCCTCATGAGGTTTGGGGAGAGGGCTGGAAAAGGGAGCTGGAACTCAGACATGAGACATTGTGAGGCATTTATGTTGGCTTCAATATGTCCCTGCTTTAGGAGGTTTAATTTAACATTCTGTGTCTTTGGATATGAGGTTTAATTGAATGTTCTGTGTATTTGGATGTGCTGGTTTTTTGTGGGGTTTGTTGTTGGTTCTTGTGGGGTTTTTTGCTCTCAGGCTTTTAATGGTTTGATCTGTAAAAATATTTAAATTAGGAACAACTTGTGTGGAACACTTGCTTTGTCCTGGAGTACCCCTGAGAAGTGTGGCCCTTTAATATGTAAGGGGGCACTTTGTTTGTGGTTTTTCAGTGGGTTTTTCCAACGTGTCAGTAATGGCGGACTGAGGGGAAGAGCTGTGTTTGCACTGGGAGGTAGCTCCGGTTTGGGTGGAAAGGCCTCTCTTGCCTCATTTTGCGAGTATTGGAAGAACTGTGGCTCAAAACTTTGCTGTTCCTGGGTCTCTTTTAAAGGTTTTTTTCCTGCGTGGTAGCGATAAACAGAATTAAAAGTGGCTTATCTTGTCGTAGAAAATAAAACTGAACCCTTTGCATCCACCTGTTGCTTGTAAACTGTGCTTTGCAAAACCGCTTGGCAGTGGCAGTCAAAGAGCAAAGCTGGGTTTGCTGGTGGTGGATGGGCCCTTAGAGGAAGGTTTGGACTGTGGCAGTGCCATTGTTGCCAAATGAAACGTTCCTTAGACATTTATCATGCGCTGTTTGTAAATAGCCAGTAAATATATGCAAGAGCTTGTTAGTGTTTTCTTCCCCATCTTGCTTCTGAAATGGTGCGTTACCGGCTGCTCGTGGCATTCATTTTTAATATGGAAATCATTTCGCTGTGAAAATCAATAACAGTATTTTGTGAGGCTGTTGGAGTGAACAGAACATGTGTTTAATGGGTTGTGGGGATCCATGTCAGAACAGCTAAAAAAGCTTTGCTGCAGAAACCGGTACTAATGTGGTTGTGGAAGAAGAACCGTCAAAAATAATATCCTACAGAAGGAAAATAGTAGGTGCATGGTAACACTGGAGTTTTGAACTTTTAGTATTTAACCCATAAAATGGGTTTTTCTAATAATAAATTAGGGTTTCTTTATTTAAAAACAATCTCTTACCATAGTATTTTTCTTAATGAGCGTTTGAACCTCCTGCTATGCTACAGAAACCACAAATCTGAGCTACTTCTGTTTTAAAAAGTAAACTACAGAAGACCCCCAAAGGTCAGGCTTAAAATATACTCCTGGTGCTCTTTGCTTGTTCAAGACCTGTGGTTCAGTTTTTTCCTGTTGAGAATTATTGTAGAGCTTTTTTGTCGTTTTTCTTCCTGTAAATATCTGGTGGGGTTTTTTTATTCCCTGGAGGAAAAGCTGATACATAATTCCAAATATGCACCTCATGGTGTTATTCAATTAAAAAAAAAAAAATCTCTAAATCCCAAAGCCATCCTAGCTAATGATGTTTGATGCCTGCTGATTGAAATTATGACTAACAGAATAATAGATGTTACTTGTACTTACTTAGGATGTCGTCTAATCAAGTGTTAGAAATGCATTTAACTTTGCCCACAGAAACTCAGTTTCTTGATCAACTGTGTGTGTTAGTCTCATATTTTGGGAAAAAAATACTTGGAACAACAGTCTTTTAAGATTAATTACCCCCTATCTAACTATTGATTACTAACCTTTTCCTCCTGCCTTATGAAAATACCTTGATTTTTATTTTGATGACCCTTTCTAGCAGTGAAATGGGGAGCTCAAAAGGACCTTAAAGAAGTATAAAACAACACTTTAGTGGCTGGGGGAAATAGCTGGAAGTGGGGGGGGTTGCTGGAAAAAAATTGCAAAAGCTGAATTTATTCTGTTTGGCAGGAGACAAGAACAGTCCAAATGGACAGTGCAAAACACTGAAGGTCGGAGCATTTTGCTATCTCAGCATCCTCTGGTGCTTTAATGAGCATTTTTTGATTATTCATCCAATTATATAACACCTTCAGCTGATTTTACTTGCAAATACAGTCAAATGTGCCAGAGGACTCTGCAGTTCTTCATTTCCCCAATATTTCATGAGTTTTAGTGAAGTCATTATAACAGTGGCCTTTACGTGCTCGATAAATCCCAGGCATCAATTATATCCTCGGAAATAAAAGGGACGTTATTTGGGACTGTGGAGATGACAATAGAGACATTATTTTCTCCCCAGAAAGAACTTCTTGTGCAGGTCTGAGCAGTGACTTTCTGGGGCTGAGGTGAAAGTCCTTGAGTTTGTACTGGATCAGAACCTGCTGCTGCCCTTTCCTTACTCAGGAGATGGAAGGCTCTGCTTCCACACTCCTGGCTTTGCTGGGAGTCAAGCCCAGCATTTCCCAAAAGGAATCTCCACTGCTACCCCCCCTCAACCCCAGGTTTGAGGACTCCACTTGCTTCCCCCAGTGGAAAATGCTGCTCATGAACACCCGCCTCAGCAATTCCAGAGCCACTGGCACTTGATCCAGGAATATTCCCGTGTTCAGGGAGGTACAATGTGGTGCTTCCAGCTGGTGTTGGTGGAGCTCTGTTTTAACTGGATCTGGCAGCTGAAGTTTAGCCATCTCTAGGCTCTTTCTCACAGATTAATTCTGGGCTCTTCTCCTCATTGGTACTTTGGATCTTGTTTTGAATCACCTTCCCTAACAGTCTTTTCCAGCTTGGAAAAGTCTTTACCATCCTGGTGCTGTCCTTGTGTTAGTTGTGGGCAGTTCCCTTGTGCCCAGGGGGTTCTACTAAAACCCTTTACCTGCAGCCCAAAACAAGGCAGTGATTAAAAGCCAGATCTGATCCTTGAAATCAGCCTTTGTGCTCCCTGGAACTGCCATTTCCATGTTTTCTGTGGGATGCAGGAGCCCCTTCAGCATCAATCACACCAGTGACTGGAAACTGGACTTACAGCAAGTGATCTCCCTAATCTTTCTTTCTGAACCTATTCTAGAAAGGCCAATATTTCTGCTTTCCCTCAGAAATTATTATCAGATGGAAGGAATAAATCACCAGGGACATTTTTGCATCCAAGATGCTGGAGGCAGCTGTTCTAGGAATTCCAGGGAACATCTGCTTCTGTGGCCTGGCTGCAAAAGCTGCTTGATCCAAATGCAGTGGCAGTTTGCAAAGACAAGTCCAGCGTCATCAACTTGGATTTTCAACTGTTTGACTGATTTCTTTTCTGGTAGGAACTAACCTTTCCAGTGGACTGATGTAGCCTTTATTTTTCCATGTGTGCCAGTTATTTCCACGTGCAATAATTTCAGAGTCCTCCAGATATTCATCCTAGATTGCAGATTGCTCTAGCAGGAGCTCAGTATCCCTTACTCCAGGAGCAAGAATTGTGCATTCAGTGCAAGTTTCCTTTAGAAATGGGAAAATCCTGCCAGTTTGAGTTGTCCTTGGGATTTAATAGCCCCAAAACAAAGCAGGATCCATGGCTAATAAGAACAGCCCTGGACTCTTCTAAAGACCTGCAGTGCAATCCTGGAACTGCCAGTCCTGTTTCAGCACTGCATCCTGCCCATGGTTCCCCAATTACATGTGGGACAAATGCAGAATTCCAGGTGCAGTATAAAAACCCTGGCAGATTCCTGAAGTGCCCAAACCAGAGTATTTAAACATTTCCCAATGAGGACTGGGAGTGTTTTTCTTGATTAAACTGTATCCAGTGTGCCGTGGTGTAAATCATATTCCCAGTTTCTCTGTGTTCACCTTGGGGTGTTTGTATCCCAGTGATGTTTATTTTAGTCCCATTTCCCACCCAGTAAGAGGAGCCACAGTCTGCAATCTTGAGATATCCTCTGTGCCATCTTTAGCCAGGGAATTTCTGGGTTAAGAGCATCCAAACAATTCTTTGGGTGAGGGGTGTTAGTCTGAGGAGCGTGTTCAAAGGACAAGGGTGTGTAAACTAGTGGGGTTAGAGATAGAGCAGTTTGTACATGGCTTCAAGTGATTCACTTCCAAACGCTCCTGGGGTGGTTTTGTGGATTCTGGTGAGTGTTTTGTGTCCTGTTTGGGGCTCTGTGCTCTCAGAAGAGTTGCACTGCGTGGTTTATGTAAATCGAATGATACCCGCTTTGATGGTGGGAACTCCCAGCAAAGAGTGACCCCTTTCCTCCAGCTGGAATTAAAAATGTTCTTTGATATGATGGGAATTGCCCAAACACTGGGATTTTTCTAAAGGCTTGAACGTCACTGAGATGTTGTGCTGCTGTGTGGGAGCAGATGTATTATTTAACACCAGAAACTGTGCCTGGCACCATTAGGAGGGGGGTTGGCTCCAGTGCATTGGAATTCTGTGTGGTGACACTTTGTGCTGCTGCTGAGGGGCTGTTGGGAGTGAACTGTTCTGCGTGGTGATGAATCCCTCAGGCACAGGGTTTGCCTTTCCCTCTCTCCCATGGAGGGAGATCCCTCACTCTGCTCTGCTCCAGCAGAACCTGCAATTAGAGCTTTGCTGGAAGGGGTTGGCCTCTGCTCTGCACTGCCCTCATGGGTGTGAGTGGGAAGAAAGCCACCTTGGGCTGCAAAATACAGATCCTTTTAATCTGGAGTTGCTCAGAAGAGGGTTTTTCAAGTGCCTAAAGTATTTTCCCCTGCATTTACTTTAATTATTATGAATTATACATCTTTATCATGCATCAAAATCCAAGCTGTGCCGTATTTTCTCCTGGTTTGTACTCTCATATGGCTCATCCAGGACATGTCAGGTCATAACCAAAGTGATTCCTTCCTGTCTGTCCTGGTTCCCTGAGGGCTGCACAATACTTTGTACTCCTAAAAGGAAAGCATTCCAGGGACCCTGACCAAACATTCCAGGTCATGGAGACAAAGGTTCTCCCCCATTCCAGATCCAGGACCCAATCTAGTCTAGGTTTTCCCCCATTCCATTTTCCAGCCCTCAGGTAGCACCTTTTTAAGGACATTATAGCAAGAATGATATTTTATAGTCCTTCCACCCCCATCCAGTGTCATCTTTTCTTGGGTAATGAGTGGGATGTACTTTCAAGGACTGCACTTCCAAATATCCCATTTTTTTGAGGTAATTACCAGCAGAGAAACCATCCTTCACCTTTAATTGTTGAAGAGAGCCACATCCCCCAGCAGGAGCCCAGGCACAGACACCCTGGGATTGATATCTGCTGGGCTTTGTTCCCAGTAAACAAGGCTGGAACCCCATCCATTCCTTGTGTCCTCAGGGTGCCCAGGACAGCTTTTAATGGGATGGGAGCCCTCCTGCCCAGGCAATGAGGCTGTTTCTCTCCTCAGGAAGAACAAATCTGCTCTTGGTCTAAGGTCTAATTCAATTTTTCTGGTGCAAAAGGAGTTTAATCTTGGTAGATCCCTCCCCTTCTCCTTAACTTCCAGCTAAATTTCTTGGTTCTTGCTTTGCAAACTCTCCCATCCCGAGTCTCTGATTCCAGTGGGGTCAGGAATTTGCAGCTGTGATTTACAAGGCTGTAGAGCTGCAGTGGGTTTGGGAGATGCTCACTCAGATCCCAACAAAAGGAGGGGTTTTCCAACAAATCACGGCAGAGTTTGGAAACAAATACTTGTGATACTCTACATACAAACCATCAGAAAGTCCTAATCTGAAGGGGTCTGCATTTCGTGGTACAAAGCAGGGTTAATAGTGTCAGGCTGATATTTGCATTAGCTACCTAATTATTTAATTCATCTGAATGTTAAATGTCTGGGTTTTATGTTAATTGGGCACATTTCTGGCAAGGGAAAGATAACATCTGACAGTGACATTTAGTGACGCTTGAGTCTAGCTCACGTTGGAGCAATAATTTCTGTTCTGGTATTAGGGCAGGCTGAAAATGCAAGTGTTCAGGTGCTTTGGGAGTGGCTCCCCACAACCCCCAGCTGCAGGGCAGGGATGGACAGAACTCACCCTGTGCCACCACTGTCCTTTCCTTCTCTTCTGATGATGAAAATACAAGGATACACTTTCTCCTCCTCTGCCCTCCATTGTGCTCCTGGCAGCCAGAACAGAAGGAATAAATTGTAATTTTCCAAACCCCTTAATTTAATGGTTGTGTTTGGTCTGTGTTACCAGGCTTACCTTTTACATCCCATTAATTTAAAGCAATTCCTAAAAGTGTTGAACTTGGTGGAGTTCTGGGGGAAAAGAGCTCCTTCATTTTAATAATTCAGTGGCAACAAACCCGTTAAACAAACCCACTGTTTTTTCCACCACTTGGTTAGAAGGAGGTAGCCCCAGGTGGCTCTGACGTGGGTTGGGTTGTTTGCAAGTTGTGAATGATAAACTGTAGAATTTTCCCCTGCCCCTTGGCTGTTTATTTTCCCCCAAAGACCACTCAGGGCAGTCAGTGGGCCCCAAGGCTGAGCTGTTTGTGTCCCAGGAGCTGCTGACAGCACAGGCCCAACCCTGGGGCTGAGGAGGGGGGTGGGGCTGTCCATGAACCAAACCAGTCCTGGAAGATCTGCAATCCACTTCTTCCTGCATCACCAGTGCCACTGACTCAGCCAGAAGTGTCTCAGTCACGATGCCATCAGAACACTGGAGGTTCCTCCCTTGGCAGAGTCGGGTTTGGTGGCAACGAGACTCTTTGTGTTGGAGAGACCCAGTTGTGAGACTGATTAATGTGTTGGAAATCCAGAGGCATGAGGGGTGTGTTAAGCATTCAGGGTGGTGTAAATGCCAATTCTTTTGTTACCCAAAAGAGAAATCTGACCTCTCCCCAGGTAGGAATATTTAGCTACAGCCTGACTTAGGTGTGTTGGAGGATTAGAATCCAGAGCTATTTATTGTATTGCTTCTGGACTCCTTATTTGTCTTTCTGGTCCTGGGCAATTGGATCCAAGTCTCTTAGAGCAGAGAACAGCATTGGCTGCATTTACACAGTGACTGAAAGGATGCACTGAGGAAGTGGGAGATTGGAGTTCCTCTGTCTTTGTGTGTGTCCAGAAGTGGGATTTACAGGCACCATAAATCCCTTCTTGCTGTGGAGAGGAGCAGTGGGATTGCTGCACTAAGGACACAGGAATATAACTTCACATCCCGGTGGTGAAGGTACTTTCCAGGAGGGGAGCAGTCCTGGGTTTCAGACAGTCAGAATTGTCCTGGGTGGATTTGTGTGCACTGGGATGGCAGGAGTGAAGGGAGTTGGTGTTCTCAGCTCCAGAAATCCAACCCAAAAGTGACCTGTGCAGTACATACAAAACAGCCATAGTTTGGACCAGTGATTTAGACACCTAAAAGCTTCAGTTTGGAGGCAGCATTTCCTGCTGAGTTATTGACTGTATCTGTACCTCCCTGCACAGAGCTCCAGGTAGAATAATTTGTTTGTATTGACAAGAGCTGAGGTGGAAGTAAATTAATTTAGTCAAGCTCATTGATTTTCCCCCACTTATGAAGAAGGGAGGTGAGATCATCTCGATGCTGCCATCACAAGGCTTCTCTCAAAGGGTCATATTCTGCTTTTTCTGAAGGTAGTTCAACAAAAATAATGGTGTGTTTGCTGAATTTTCCCAAAGAGGAGCCAGTTCTGACACGGCACTTAAATGAAGGGTGACTTTCACTAAAAGCTGAACCATGTTTGGAAATCAGAGTGATGGAAATCAGAGATTCCACAATCTCAACAGAGTGAGCAGTGAACCTGGGAGTAAAACACCAGGAGCGGGAATTTTACAGCTTCAAAGCGTATTTGTGTTCTGTCTCTAGTCTGGAAATATGGAGTAATCAGAACTGCAGGGTGGAATTTATCTCAACATGTCATGGAGAAACTCTGCTTGTCAATTATGACCTGTGAGCCTGCAGTACCTTTCCAGTTAGGACATGCCTTGGGAATGTGGGATAAAAATGGATCCATTATTTACCTGTGGATATCTCAATTATTGCTCTCCTTGATTGGTCTTGTTCTTTTCATTGTTGGCCTTCTGAGGGAGATTAAAATTAGTCATATATTGAGTGGTTCTTACCATTTACCCCAGGTGTGGGTTGGTATTTGTGTGACTCCCCACGGCAGAGATTTTTGACATACTCCTTAGTCTTCATCTGTCAGTGAAATGGGGAATTTCAGCAGCATGGCTGATTAATAACTCCAAAAAAAAAAAAAAAAAGCCCTTTTGTGCTAAGGGTGATGTAAGTGCAATTACATCTCATGTCAGCGTGGAAAAGGTGTGATATCCACTCATTTGTGCAGCCAAAGGATTTAACTGGGAGTTATTACAGGGCACAGTGTAATTGCCATTAAAATGCACAGGTTTCTGATAGGAAAAGTCCTCATACCTCAAGTGGCAGTAACAGGTGAATCAGTCGTGTTAAATCTCCAGCGTCAGGATTCTCGTTGTGCCAAACCAGAACTGCCAGTGCTGTCAGTGCTCAGCTGGTTAAACTCAGAACTCCTGCAGAGTCCATGGGTGGGTTCAGGCTGTTGTCCAGGGGTAGATGTGCAGCTTGCAAAGCCAGTTGTCTGTGAGTGGGAAGGAAAACTAATCCTGTCCTGCTTTGCTACTGAGGCTGGCAAGGAAATCAGGATGTTTTCTCTCGGCCCAGCGTGGGGAGCAGAGTTGCCTGGCCCTGTGGGAATTAAGGCAGTTGCAGAGCTCAGTCTAAGTGTGCAAAGCACTTCCAGCTTTCCCTAATTGGAACTATGAGAGAATAAAGCCCGTTATTTTCTGGGGTGATGTAGAAACACCTCCCAGCCACTCGTCCCTCTTTGGAGGCATTTTATAAGCGAGTGATATTTCCTGGCTGCCAGCAGTTACCATAAATTGATAAATAACCCATTTATGCCACATTGAGTTGGAGTGTGTTGAATTGTGAGTACAAGGGCTCCAAATAACCAGGCAAAGGAGAGCAAAGAGTGATAAGAGAACAGCAAATCTGATCCAAACCTGCTCCGTGGGCAGAGTGCAGGTCGATAATATTGTGCCGCTGGACACAAATAAAGGAGTTTGGGTCATAAAACAACTGAAAAATGGGCACGTTTGTCTTTCCTCACCACTTCTCTGCTGCCTCTGGAGAAGAGGAGCAGCCCAGAGATCCTGTAACGTGCAGAGTCATGTGTGGAAACATAAATCCAGAAGAGGAGAGAGCTCAGGGGGATGTCCCCAAGTGGCACCTGACCTGTGTCCCCCGGGAGATGGGTGTTGGAGAGAGAGGGAATTCTGATGGCAGCTGGAATGAACTCTTTGCCTTTTTATTTAGAAACTGCTCTGGTGTTACAGGTGTCTTTGAGGATATAAAAGTTGTAATCTTGGTCTGCTTTTGTGGAGCTGGTTAGTGTTGGATTTATGGCAGCACCACCACGTTCCTTCCATATCCGAGGCCGATACATCTTCAGGAGCTTCTCCTAAACTGATTCAGGAGCTGCTGCAAGAGAGGTGGAATGAGGACAGTTCAGCTCCCTGTGCTGCTCTGACTGGACAGAGCAGACATTCCTTGCCTTGAAATCCTCATTAATTTGGGGATTTGTTTGGCTAAAACAGTGTCTTTTGCTCTGTGAACATCAGAAGTGCTGACCTTTTCTACAAAACAGGCACTGTAGTCATTTCCCCCCCTATTTTTCATGGCCAGTTGTCATTTGTTGTTCAAAGCCCTTGAAGGTTATCCTATTGTTTGAAAACTTGAGAGGCTTCTTCAAAGAAGGAAACTGTGAAGAAAATGTTTGAGCCCATAATCCTGTTTAGACATGGGATTTTAGAGGTGAGAGGTCACCTCTTAGTTAAGGACTCCTTAATCGATTGTTGTTAAGGAAAATAACAGAAGAAAGTGGGGAGTGGGTAACACATCATTTTGATTCCTTTCAATTAAAATGCTGCAGTATTTTTATTTTCAAATAAATGAACCCAGTTTTAAAAAGTGCCTGATTTTCTGGGCTGATCATCCAAATAGGAATCACATTTATTTAGAGTAACCTTAGTGGTTTAAAATACTGCAATTTGAGTTTTCTCTGCTGTCAGGGTTGGAATGGAAACAAAAGCCATCTGCCTTTTAGCTTGTCAGGAGATATCCATCATCCCACTGGCAATTTTGTTCACTGTGCTCCCAACTGATGGGTTCCCTCTGACTAAATTCCCTGGAAAAGCGCAGAATCCATATGTTTACTTTTCTCAGAAATGGCACTGGAAAGCGCAGCATAATGAAACAAAATAAATACATTTCAGGCACTGAAGATGGAGAAATAACAAAGGAAAAGAAGCCCAGAGGATTTGTTCAAATGAACAAGGCAATTTCAGGTTGTATATAGTTATATATCTGAAAACTCAAGATTCACTGGGTAAATGAATGTGGTCTTTTCTTACTGTAATTTAGAGTTTTGCTGGTTGGGTTTGGGTTCCCAGAAGTGACCTGGGAATCAATGGGTCAGGTTAGAGGGGCACAGACGTGACCCCGTGTGTTGGAGTGACCGGGGCAAGGAGCAAACAGTGATCTGAAATGTGTTGCTGCTTGTGCTTTTACCCCCTACAGCAGTAATTTAGGGTGATGGATTTTAATCAGTGCTTTGTGGAAATAGTTAAAGTCCCAAAATGGCTTCTGTCAAACTTGCCTGCTTTCAGATACCCAGAACTTCCCCTGGCAGCACGGATGGTCTGGGTTTGACCTAGACCCAAAGCACATTTCTTGGCCTGGTGACTTAGTTTTATGCATTGTTTAAAAAAATAAAAAGCCTTGGCTTCCTTTGAGTCATGACCATCATAAAAACTGCACTTTGGGTTACACTTTATGAGGTAAAATTGCAAATTTCCTGTCCTTGGCTTTCCACGAGAGACCGGTTAAGGTTGAACCTCCAGACCTGCCCCAGAGCCAGCCACGTCCTGTCCATAGTTCCATGTGTTTAAACTTCCCCTTCGTGAGGACCCACCAGGATGAGGATTTGCAGGTCTCATAAAGCAATTTTCTATTTTAACAGCTTTGAAAAATAACCCAGTTTTACATATTCAACATTCTGATGTTAAAAACATACAATGTTTTGAACAAAGGAAGGTGATTGTTTCTCTTTTTTAAATCCAGATGAGGTGGGCTGTGAGTAACTTCGATGGCAAATTAGTTGTAGATGGTTTCTGCTGTTTTTTGCAATGGCTGAGGAGCCAATTTCTCTTGTAGCTGATTCTGGCAGGTTTGTTCCACTTAATGGTAAAAGGTCAATTGCATGAGAATAAAAAGGAAGAAAAAATCTGAAATGGCATCTTTGAACTAGACAGACAGTGAAATTAAAATTCTAAATGGTTGATAGGAGGCTTGAAGTGTCCCCTGAACAGAAGACTAAATTCGGTCACCTCCTTTATGGAAGAATCTTTTGTTGAAGGTTGACTTTTCTATCTTTTTGCTGAATTTCCATCGGCTATTTCATTGTCTAATTACTGCTGGTAAAAGTTATTTATTTCTTTTGTCTAACAGCCCTATCTGCAAGTTCTGTGCCCTCCTTGACCACAGAAAAACCTCTTCCCTTCATTTCATTGCCTATATTATAAGCACACTCAGTGTTGTTTCCTTTGCATCTTGATTTCAGCAATAAATATTGCCTGGAACTTTAGATCTAATTATTGAAGTCACTTGGGAATCTCCTACATGCATAAAGATGATCAAAACCCTTAATTTTTGTTTATAGTCTCAGTTCTAATTAATGCACATCTTTGTCTTAGAAAAATTACCCCCTTTCTGATATTTTTTGCATGCTTTATAGTTTGGGATCATCTCTGTGTTCCATCAATATCCAATTGGATTTTTTCCTCCAGTTCATTAATAAAGATATTAAATTGTAGCAGCCAGCACAGCAACAACCACTGCTGGATCTGTTGTTTCCCCTTCAAGTCTGTACCCTTTTGTTTCCTTCACAGTTAAACATTTCCAGTGTTTGTCTCCACATTGATCAGGTATGGTCTTGCCTGATTCCTGACTTTAAAATGTCCTGGCTATGAAATTTTAGTCCAATTAAAAACATCTTTCTCCTTCTCCCTCGTTCCCCTTTTCCCCATCCCAGCAAATGTTTTTCCTCATTTGTATTTTTTGCAAAATAATTTAATTTCATCCAAATGTTCGATCTCTGCCAAAGCCGAGAGGGACCTGAAGTGGAACACAGGGGTGAGAGGTGGGAGTATCCATGGAAACAACTTCCCTGCAGATGTTTGGATATTCCTGGAACATGGTTCTGGTTCACACCTGACCAGCACAGCCTGAACTCTGTTTGGTGCCATAGTAGGGAAGAGATTACATTTTCCTCCATGTTTCCTTATCTCAAGTTGCATCCTTAGCTCCCTTCTCTCCCATTTTGCTCTGTTTATTTTAAAGCAGCTCTGTTAAATCCTTGCCTTAACCTTTTATCATTCCCTCTCCTTGACCCTGAGCTGATCCACAGCAAGGACTGCAGCCAAACCCAGCCTGACTGAGCCAGCCAGCACTTCCAGTCAGGAACATCATCCCTGGGATTACATGGACAAGGAGATGAAAAGCAACCAGAACTGAACAGCCCAACAGCCTTCTCCCAGTGCAGCCCTCAAGTAAGTCTCCCTTGAATTAAAGACATATCTAAAAGATCTCAAATGATTGTTTTTTTCCTGTTTATGCTTTTTCTCTCTGGTTTCATTTGGGCCCTTGGGTCTAAGCCAATTTTTAAAGTTCTACCTGCTCCAGGGGCCCCTCACGTGCTCCTCTAAGGAGCCTGGCACCATACAGGCAGATTCCAGTGAAAAAATTGGGGCTTTAGGCAATTTATGATTCCCAGCAGGAGGCAGTGTTTTTAATCTACTCATATAAACTAAGCTCTGAGTCTAATTTTTTATTAGTTGCTTCATTGATAAAAGACAGCAAAGAGAAATGAGCTGACAGGAGAATTGTTGGCTTGGTGTCCCCCCTTCATCCCCTCCTCTGCTTCCTTCCTCTGGTTTGGTAGCCAAAATAACTGAGTATTTATGGAGTAAATTCTTATTTTAATAAGTATTAACCAGGCAATGTGTAATTACCGACACAGGAGCAGAAAACAAGTTGTTGTCAGTAAATGGGACACTGAAAATTAATGGGGTTTGCCTGACACCAGGTCAAAGAGCTCTTTAACTTTGTTCTCTCTGTTTAACTCACTGGCCTGATAATGCTGGAAATAAATCCTTCAGGAAGGTGCTCTGGATTGTGTCTTAATCCATGGCAGTTACATCTTGTGCCCTGAAACAACTACAAAGAAATGGAGCTTCATGTGTAGTTTGCTGAATAAATCTTGGTGGTGTCGTGTTTTTGGCACCAGTCTGAGGAAGCTGAGTTTGGTATTTGCCATTAAATCCTTTGCAGGATATTTAAAATTAACATTTTTTAACAAAAAAAAAGAAAATCTAGACCCTGTTAATGAGTTTAAGATATTTTTTTTTCACTCAAACAGTAGTTGTGGAATAGCCTGAGTAAATGTAATTAATAAGTTGATGTTTCCCTCAGGGACTGCTTTGGCTGTAGGAATTGTTCCTGGGTGATTCCCAACACTGCTAGTTTGGTTGGGTTTCCCACAATCCTGTGGGATTGTGAGACATTTACATTATAAAGGACTGAAAAATCTGGTCACTGGAGTCAGGATAATTACAAGTAATTATTATGGTAATTAATAATGGTAATTTTAGTGCCAATGGGTCCCATCCTTTCAATTAGCTGGGAATGAGATTGAAGGTCTTCTGGCAGAAAAGAAGGTTTTTGGTTGACTTTGCTTATATCCCTGGAGAGGAGAGGAATTACAGTAGGAAGGAGCCTGTGACTGCCATTGTGGTTTGTAACTGGGTTTGTTGCTGTTCCCTTATTTTTCCAGGGTCAGTTGTATAATTTGTTGACATCATTAGTTACCGGTAACTGTGTCTAACCTGCTTTTTGCTTGAAGTTTACCATTGCCTGTTGAGCCAGAAAAAAGGCTGGTGTACCCAAAGCTGCATTTGCTGGTTTAATAGGGCCTGAAAACTTGCTCATAGCAGGGGAAAATTGATTAAAGAGGCTTGTTCCTGGGAAAAATCCATTCTGCTCCTTGGGAAAGCAAGAACAAAGACCGTGTTTAATTCTCCTGAGCTGCCACCTGAGGGCCAAGCCAAGGACAGCCAAAGCAGTCACTTCACCTGGGCAGTGCCTGGAGTGACCTTGGGAACAGAGTTCTATGGAGAATAACCCTTAAAACGACAGGGAGGGGATGGTGAAGGTGGTAACTACTAAGGTGGGCAGAGTGCCTGTAAATGCCTGTATAAAATTGTGTTGGGCCTCATCTACTGGTGCTTTTTAAACTCCTTAAAAATTCCAACTCCAAGGGTGCCCGAGCTCAGGGAGTGTTGAGCTGATCCTCTCAGGGACAGGCTGTGACTCCTGGGATGGGCCTGTGCAGGACTGAGGGTGGCACTGGGTGGTCCTTGTGGGTCCCCTCCAGCTCAGCATGTCCTGGGATTCTGGGACTTCTTCCTGTGCTACTGATCCTGCTGTTCCCAGTGAATCCCTGGGAGCTGATGGCCCGTGTGCAGGGTGGGTTTGCAAGGAGCAGGTGGGAGGCTGCGACTCAGGAATCATTTCTCAGGGCACTAATCAACCGTGCAGTAGTTTCCTACTGCAGCTCAACCTGTCATCCTGAAATCCTGACAGCGGGAGATGGGAATGCTCTGCAGATAGAGGCCTGCTCATGGGGAAAACTGGAGCCTGGGACTGATGGCACTGAAGGCTTTGTGCCAGTGCAGGGCCATGTGTGCTGCTCCTCCCTGTTGCTTCCCGGGAGCTCCTGGTGCTGCTGATCCCACTCCGAGGGGTTGATCAGCACAGCCCGTTCCTGCTGCTGCAGCAGGGGCACCATCCCATCTTCACAGGCAGGTCACTGTTTTGGGGTTGGGTTTGTCCCACTCTGATTTCTGTAGAAGCATCCAATCCTGGGAAGTTCTATAGCTGTCACACTGGAGCTTGTGGAGCTGTTTTCCCTCCTTTTCCCTCAGTCACACTCGGAGGGGCAGTGCCATCCTCTTTCATTTTGGCTAATCAAGCCACAGTCTCTGAGTTTCCCCAATTACTCTGGTAATCCTTTCCAACCCAGTTTGACTTTCTGACTCTCTTGAAGACTTTGCTCAGCCTCTCCAATGAGGCAAATAGGCCCTTGTCCAGCAGCTTGAAAGTTGAAAATAACCCCCATAGCTTTAATTCCTCCTTTTTGTCACTGAGGGGGAGCTTAGTCAGTCTGAGATCACCTGGGTGGGTGTTCAGGGAGTGTTTCAATGGACACAGTTACACCAGAACACTTTGCTGCTTCCTGAGCCTGAGTCTGTACCTTGTCCTGCTGAGTTGCACCCCGTTCTGGTTTCCCTCATTGCTCATAAACTCGGGGTTACTTAACCAATATACAGGTTGTGATGCATTTTTGTAGGCTGACTAAAGAAAATCAATATTGGAAGATAATTCTGCTGAGAAAAATGGGTGAATTTAACGGGGGGGAGCTGAACTTTGTAATTAGCACCTTCTGCAGCACTTGAGGATCTGTTTGTGTAAATTGGCTTTGTACCAAACAGCAGTAAATTTGATTTCTGCAGGGTTTAGATGTTGCAGGAGATATTTTCCAGTTTCATTTCCACCTGTCCTGTGCAGCCAGCGGAGTGCAAAAGGCTAAACAAGAGCTTTGCACTCCAGCAAAATTCTTTTGGATTATATGATTTAATAAAATAAAATTCCCTTCTGAGTTGGTATAAATAGGCATAACTTTTGACTTCTGGAGGCTCTTCTTGCTTAGAGTGGTGAAGGCTGTGTCTCCAATATGTTATTTTTTGGTGACATTTTCTACCACAGGTGCTTTTAAATGGAAAGTAGTGCTCAATTTAAAGGGAAAGGGGACAAAAAAATCAATGCAAAGATTTTTCCACTCTGCAAACTTTAGGCATTTAAAAATTCACCTGAGGAAAGAAGGTTCTTTTGGCTGCTGGTGCTGCCGAGTTGATATTTATCTGGGTACAAATGACCTGCACTTGGATCACGAAGCTCAAGATAATTTAAGACCTGCCCTTATCAGAAGTTGTTATTAATTTTGGATGATTTTAGACCGGGTTCTCAATGAAAATTCAGTGTGGGAATGGCAATGGGACTTCCTGGGTGAGAAGTTCTTTCTCTGGGTGGGGAAGTCCTCATTGCATCAAGGACTATTTATTAAACTATTCTATATTAAGTCTGAGCTGCAGCTTTTTAAACAAGAAATACCAAAAATAGGAGCATTGGAGAACAGTTATTTCTGAGCAATATTTGTGAGCCAGATTTTGTGATTCTTTTTTTTTTATATATATAACCAGAGATGTTTCCTGATGTGTGAAAAGTGTGTTTTCAGGAGGTCTAACAGGTCTGTGTAAAACATTTTGCTGTAATGATGGATTAATATCCTTGTGCTAACTAAGGCTTAAAGCCTAATTCAGCTTCATTAATCCAGCCAGTTCATTGTGCATCCCACTGCCATCCTGCTCAGGCACAGGAGTGGGACCCCTGATATCCTGGAATGCCTGTCACCCCCAGACCATTTTCTGTGAGCATGGAATTCCACAAGTCAGCACTGCCTGAAATTCCCAAACCTTTGGCTGTTGAAGTGGTCACAATCCAGGCTGGCTGCTCGGATAGACCCATTCGTGGAGACTGGGCAGGTTTGCTTTGGATTGCTTTCCTGTTGCAGATACCCAGGAAATGCTCCTGAAAGTGAGTCCAGGCCATGGAGTTAATGCAGAGCCAAACAGCCTTTCCATTGCCAGTGACCAACTGGCTGCGCTGCAGCACTGATGAATTAAACCCTGGGCAGAGCTGCAGCCCTTCCTGCTGCCACCTGCACCCACAGCCACTGCCGTGGGGGTGGCCTGGCTGGCACCTCTGTCTCCAGGGCCAGCATTCCCTGCCTTTCCCACACATCCCTCTGAACTCCTCATGGCCTTTCCCCCTTGGCATCCACCAAAGCAGTCAGCTCTGCTGGAAGATTTGTGCTTGTCCATCATCAGTTTATGAGGGAGAGGGTTGGAGCATCTTACAGTGGGGTCTGGGGATTAACATCAAATAATCGTAGAAAATAATAATGAAAGCAGCTGTGGTTGGGTGCTCTCAAAGCTCTGCACAGTCAGGATCTGCAGAGGGGGGGCAACTCTGTGCTTTAGGAAATAAATAACTCTTTTCCAGCTGGTCTGATGAACACAAAGGAGAAGGAATATTTAATTAATTATAATTATACCCTTGCAGAGGGACCAAGTTCCAGACTGTACAACTGCAGGAGACACACCTGGAAACCCCACTGGATAGGGCCCCTAATCCACATTGTCCAGCCATATATTGCATTTCTGAACAACCCCTTTCCTGCTCTGTGTTCACACAATTATTTCCATGGACATAACTCTGGATTTGGGAAGTTGCAAGAAGTGGATGTTGACCCCACATTCCACCCCCTCACAATTAGTTGACATTATTAATAGTTAATAAGCATTGCTTGAGTCCTCTCTAGGTTTTCTTAGCAACTGATCCAGCTGCCCAAAGGTGCTTAATGTCAATTATA